CCGTTGGTAAAGACAAGGATGTAAATATTTGTTAGCTACTTGCTGGTTTGATTAGCTAAATGTGGCCAAGAAAATTTCACGAGTGAAAGGCCAGCCATGTTGATGAAATTTTAGGTGGTATATATTGTGTCAACAATTTGGTTTATAATTCTTATAAACCAAATTGTGGGGGGCATTTGTTGACACCTAAAATTAATTTGGCATGAATTAAATGCCGCATTAATTAGTCTCGGCATTTAATTCGATACCGCTGGTAAAAAACGGTGTCGTTTGGAGTTGAGCGGTATCGCAAGAAGTTAAAACGATACCGCGAAACAACGGTACCGCAAGGAGGCTCAACGGTACCGCGGTACTGGAAACGATAATAAAAAGGGCCGTGCGTGCGGGTTCTTGTTGGAGAAGGAGTTTTGTTCATAATTAATTAATATTTTTATTATTCCTTGTTGGAGGAGGAAAATCGGTACCGCACGGAGACAAGCGGTACCGCAGAGCTAAAACGGTACCGCGAGGAAGCCCAACGGTACCGCTATACTAGCAAACGACCGTGTTTAATAATAAACAGTGTCGCGGAAGAAAAAAAACAAACGGAGTTGGTTGAGAAAGAAAACGACACCGCAAGGTTGGAAGCGGAGTCGTTTAATATTAAAACGATGTCGCGGGTAGAATCAAGCGGAGCTGCTTGGGAAAGGAAACGACATCGCGGGATCATGAAAGCAACTCACGTAAAGTTCACGCGAAGCAGTTTGAGGAGCGAAGCGGTTGAGATACGTGGGATTTCACAACGGAGCAGTTGAGGAAGCGGTTCCACCGAGCGTGAAGGCTACGAAGCAGTTTCTCGAATAAAAGCAGTGAAGCAAGGAGAGAGAAAGGACAACCGAATCAACACAGAAACACATCTGTCAAACTTTACCTTTTCCCTGTAACTCCTTCGCGGAGCTCTCCTTCCAGGAAGGATCTCCATAGTTGTAGTCTTAGTCGTAGTCGCGGAGCTCTCCACAGGAATCTCCATAGGAGTAGCGGTAGCGTAGATTCCTCAAAAACTCAAACACCCTCGTTCGAACGTAGTTTGGAGAGGTGCGAACCGTAGTCACGGTCGCGTTGGTTAGAAGTCAGAGGTGCATCGATCAAATCAACACCGCCCGGTGGTGGATATTTGACGGTCACGTTGATTTCACCATTCAGAGGTGCATCGATCAAATCAACACCGCCCGGTGGATATTTGACGGTTCGCACCTCTCCAAACTACGTTCGAACGAGGGTGTTTGAGTTTTTGAGGAATCTACGCTACCGCTACTCCTATGGAGATTCCTGTGGAGAGCTCCGCGACTACGACTAAGACTACAACTATGGAGATCCTTCCTGGAAGGAGAGCTCCGCGAAGGAGTTACAGGGAAAAGGTAAAGTTTGACAGATGTGTTTCTGTCTTGATTTTGCGAGGAATTCGATCGTCCGTCGTCCTTGTTTCGCTGGTTTTCCAGAAACTGAGGTTGCTTGTTGAACGGGTAGGAGTCGTAGAAGTCCTTTTTGGGTCTATTACCAGAAGTAGCTGTAGCAATCGTAGAAGATAGCACCTCGTTTCGTGGCTGCTCACTGCTCAGTCACCGTTTGGCGCTATTGGTGGATTGGATATGTTATGTCAGCATGTCTGGTCAGCGGGTGGTTTGGGCTGAGTGAGTGAGGTGAATGTCTATCTAGGCCCAGGAATGTTTTGGGGATGGCCTATTTGTTAAGGATCTTATTCATTGGGTTGGGCCCAAATATGAACTATGAAACTTATTCCTCGCTAAAAAAAAAAAAAAAAAAAAACGAAGGGCGAGCAGCATTGTTGAGATTGCCGCAGTGTTGCTGGCAAAGAAAGAGAGTCCAAACAGCTCTGCCAAACTTGCCATACTGTTGAAATAAGAATTCGGCCAAAGGTATGACTCGCTATTTATTTGTTTATTAATATAATAATAAAGGCACAGTGCCGTTTTTAGGTTGAAACAAACAGCGTTGCAGACTGTTGCAACAATGCTGTGTGTAAAAGTGCGACGTCGTTTGACCTTTGAAAAAAAAAAAAAAAAAAGTCAAGCGCATGCGTCGGGGAAGAGCAGCTGCGCTGCTGACGGGGCGACATTGCTGATGAAGGCGGAGTTTCTATTTGCGTTCCTCCGGACGGGACGACATTACAAGGTAACATTGCATGGCCATGATTTTGTTCTTTCATTATGTTGCAATTTGCATGGAGAAATATGATGAGGCCATTAGGCAGCTGGGGTTTTTTCGGAAAAAAAAAAAACAATATTAATAATTTGTTGATTACCCAAACAGCACTGCCACTGCGAGCTTGGTGCCGCAGCATTGTGGCAAAAGATAATTAAGCCGTTTATTTCTGGCCAAGCAACATTACGATACTCTAGTGTTTGGTGGCCGAAAAAATATATGTTAATTTAATTGTGGTGTAATACTGTTTCGGCTCAAGCAGCATTGGGATTTAGGTTCACAGGACTGGTCATTATTGTATATTGGTACTTTTTTCCGTTCTTTTGAACAACATTGATGAGTTGTCTTGGCGACCCTCATAATCAGCATTGCTCAAGTCTAGGCGAATGCCGTGGAGGTGTTGGCTACACCATTGTTGGCGCAAAAGAATAAATAAGAAAAATATATATGTATATCAAAGCGCCACCGTTTGGTCCAAAGCAACATGGAGTGGTTGTGAGGGAAAAATAAAGCATCACTGGAATAGCCTAAAATAGTGTTGCGAGCTACTACAGCAATACTGCGTTGAAAGTGGCCAAAACAGCTTCGTTTGGGCCATTGTATCGACAACTAGAATGAGTGAAAAAAAAGAATGGCAAAACAGGTTTGGCCCAAACAACATTGCGGAGTTGCGCTCGGAGGAACCACACAGCGCGGTTGGTTTTGCTTAAATATATATGTATTTGTTTTTTTTTTTATTTTAAGCAATGCTGTTTTAATTTGGGCCAAACAACATTGCGAGCTTGCTGCTGCCGCATTGCTGTAACAGTAGGAGAAAAAAAAACTATCCGCAGTACTGCATTGGCGGCCATGGGTTGAGAGACCTCGTCTTGGGATTATTCTAAAAAAAAAAAAACAAAAAAAAAAAAAAAGGAATTTAGAGGGCGGCCAAACAGCCCTGGTGAATTTTTTTTTTAGCTCTGCGGCTGTGCCAAACAGCCCTGGTGAAAAAAAAAAAAAAAAATTTCAGCTCTGCAGCCGTGCCAAACAGCCTTGGTGGAGGAGAATAAAAAAAAAAAAAAAAAGTAGAGTGCGGCCAAGCAGCTCTAATATATAAAAAAAAAAACAAAAAAAAAAAATTATTATCAAATGATGCTTGCAGTCTGCCAATTTTTGGTAGATTGGTGGTCTAATTCAAAATTATTTTAGGTGTTGGATTATGTCAACAATTTGGTTCATAATTCTTATAAACCAAATTGTGGGGGGCATTTGTTGACACCTAAAATTAATTTGGCAGAAATTAAATGCCGCATTAATTAGTCTCGGCATTTAATTCGATACCGCGGATAAAAAACGGTGTCGTTTGGAGTCGAGCGGTGTCGCGGAGAGTTAAAACGATACCGCGAAACAGAAAAGCGGTACCGCAAGGAAGCTCAGCGGTACCGTGACACAGAAAACGACACCGCCGGAAAATAAGAGGGGCCGCGCGTTTTGGTATTGGTGTCGGAAAAGGAGTTTATTATTATTATTATTATTATTATTATTATTATTGTTATTCCTTGTGGGAAGGGGAGAAGCGGTACCGCATGGAGACAAGCGGCACCGCGGAGAGTTAAACCGGTACCGCGAGGAAGCCCAACGGTACCGCTATACTAGCAAACGACAGTGTTTAATAATAAACAGTGTCGGGGAAGAAAAAACAAACGAAGCTGGTTGGGAAAGAAAACGACACGACAAGGCTGGAAGCGGAGTCGTTTAATATTAAAACGATGTCGCGGGTAGAATCAAGCGGAGCTGTTTGGGAAAGGAAACGACATCGCAGGATCATGAAAACAACTCACGTAAAGTTCACGCGAAGCAGTTTGAGGAGCGAAGCGGTTGAGACACGTGGGATTTCACAACGGAGCAGTTGAGGAAGCGGTTCCACCGAGCGTGAAGACTACGAAGCACCTAAAATTATTTTGGCTTGAATTCAATGCCGTAATAATGAGTCTCGGCATTTAATTCGATATCGCATGGCCAAAACGATGTCGTTTGGAGTCGAGCGGCACCGCGGAGAGTTAAAACGGTACCGCGTGGAGACAAGCGGCATCGCGGAGAGTTAAAACGATACCGCGAAACAAAAAAGCGGTACCGCAAGGAAGCTCAGCGGTACCGCGACAAAAAACAACACTGCCGGAAAATAAGATGGGGCCGCGCATTTAGTTGGTGTTGGAGAAGGAGTTTTGTTTACAATTAATTAATATTTTTTTTCCTTGTTGGAAGGGGAAAATCGGTACCGCATGGAGATAAGCGGCATCGCGGAGAGTTAAAACGGTACCGCGGATTTAAAAACGATGCCGCGAGAGCCTGGTAAGCGGTACCGATTAAATAAATAAAAAACCATATTGGGTAAGTGACCAAAATTCGCCAGCCCAATGCGAGTGCAGACTCGCGGCGGTTCCATGAATTGATATTTTTTGGTTATGTTAGCGGTGTCGTTTAATTAAAAACGGTACCGCGAGCAAGCCCAACGGTACCGCTATACTAGCAAACGACAGTGTTTAATAATAAACAGTGTCGCGGAAGAAAAAAACAAACGGAGCTGTTTGGGAAAGGAAACGACATCGCAGGATCATGAAAACAACTCACGTAAAGTTCACGCGAAGCAGTTTGAGGAGCGAAGCGGTTGAGACACGTGGGATTTCACAACGGAGCAGTTGAGGAAGCGGTTCCACCGAGCGTGAAGACTACGAAGCAGTTTTTCGAATAAAAGCAGTGGAGCAAGGAGAGAGAAAGGACAACCAAATCAACACAGAAACACATCTGTCAAACTTTACCTTTTCCCTGTAACTCCTTCGCGGAGCTCTCCTTCCAGGAAGGATCTCCATAGTTGTAGTCTTAGTCGTAGTCGCGGAGCTCTCCACAGGAATCTCCATAGGAGTAGCGGTAGCGTAGATTCCTCAAAAACTCAAACACCCTCGTTCGAACGTAGTTTGGAGAGGTGCGAACCGTAGTCACGGTCGCGTTGGTTAGAAGTCAGAGGTGCATCGATCAAATCAACACCGCCCGGTGGTGGATATTTGACGGTCACGTTGATTTCACCATTCAGAGGTGCATCGATCAAATCAACACCGCCCGGTGGATATTTGACGATCGTCATCGAATTCAGCAAGCAGCGGTGCCGAGTGCCGAATTAATTAGTCTCGGCATTTAATTCGATATCGCAGAACAAAAAACGGTGTCGTTTGAAGTCAAGCGGCATCGCGGAGAGTTAAAACGACACCGCAAGGAAGCTCAACAACACCGCGGTATTTAAAACGACATTGTTTAGGGAAAAACAATATCGGATTCACTCGGTCTGTTGGTGTTGTTATTGGAAAAGGAATGTTTTGTTTTTTCCTTGTCGGAGGAGAGATAAAACGGTGCCGCGAACCTCAAAGCTCAACGGCATCGCGAGACAGGGAAACAGTGTCGTTTGGCTAAAAACGGCACCGCGAATAAACCCAACGACACCGCGGATCAGAAAAACGGTACCGCAAGGAAACTCAGCGGTACCGCGGCACTGGAAACGACACCGCTCACCGAAAAACAAAAGGGGCTGCGCGTTTAGTGTGGGTTATGGAGAAGGAGTTTTCTAATTAATTATTATTTTTATGCCTTGTTGGAAGGGGAAAAGCAGTGCCGCATGGGGACAAGCGGCACCGCGGAGAGTAAAACGGTACTGCGGATGTAAAAACGATGTCGCGGGAGGCCTTGATAAGCGGTGCCGATTAATTAAAAACGGTACCGCGAGTAAGCCCAACGGTACCGCTGTATTAGCAAACGACAGTGTTTAATATAAAACAATGTCGTGGAGTAAAAAAGCAAAGCAAACAGAGCTGTTTGGGGAAGAAAACGACATCGCGTGAGATTCACACCAACTCGAGCGAGGAGGAGATCAAGACGATTGAGACACGTGGGAGTTCACAACGGAGCAGTTGAGGAAGCGGTTCTACCTAGCGTGAAGACTACGAAGCTGTTTTTTTGAATAAAATCAACCCTGCAAGGAGAGAAGGGGGAACCAAATCAACACATAACAACTCTGTCAAACTTATCTTTTTCTCTGTAACTCCTTCGCGGAGCTCTCCTTCCAGGAAGGATCTCCATAGTCATAGTCGTAGCGTAGTCGCGGAGCTCTCCACAGGAATCTCCATAGGAGTAGTCGTAATGTAGATTCCTCAAAAACTCAAACACCCTCGTTCGAACGTAGTTTGGAGAGGTGTGAACCGTAGTCACAGTCGTCTTGATTAGAAGTCAGTGGCGCATTAATTCGATCAAATCAACATCGTCGTTTGGCACGCCGGCGGTGGTATTTGGTCAGAAAATAGTGGTGCATCCGTTCAATCGGCACCGCAAGAGTTTCCACCGCGAAACATCAAATCAACATCGCCGGGAACGAATTCGGCACCGGCGGTGGCATTTGGTTTTTGCGAGGAAACAAATTGGCACACCTGGTGGGACACGTGTGTTTGACACGGTTCCGCGTCGAGGAAATCAAGATCGTGATCTTCCACACGTACCTGTGGAGGAGGAGGCGCCCGACATCGAAGTTGGTCAGGCGAACGGGGCAGATAGACGTACTCAAGGGATGGAAGAGCGGCTACATGATGAAATCCTGTATCTACGTCAATCCATGGAGGAGTTTCGCCAGTCCATGAAGGAGTTTCACCAAGAGGTAAATCTCCAATTTGATAATCTTGAAAAGAAAATGGATAAGTTTGAAAACAACATAGATCGATGGTTTGATAAGTTGGATGACTGTGTTTCTGATTTTAGTATGTCAATACATAGAGCCACATGTGATTTTGATGTGTTTGAATCTGAAACCATGTCTGTTGCGTGCGATGATTTGATGGTTGATCGGCTAGCCAAGGTCAACCAAACGCCATCGACGAGTATGGCTACAACATTGTTGCCAGAAGCAAGGAATCCCAATGTGTCTTTTCCAATGACAACTGCACCATTGCAGAATTATCTTTTTTCTCTCTAGTTTCGTAGAACCGCTCTGTCAAAGAACTCCTTTGCAGAGTCGTAGATCGTAGCTTGTAGTCGTAGTCGCGGAGCTCTCCAGAGGAACCTCCATAGGAGTAGAGGTAACGTAACTTAGAACACTCCTGGTTCGAGACGATCGTCAAATATCCGCCGCCGAATGTCGGCGTCGTTGATTTGATCGGTGCAACTCTGACTTCTGAAAACGATGACGATTGTCAAATATCCACCGCCGTGCGATGTTGATTTGATCGATCGAACAGAAAACAAAGAAGCTCGTCAAATATCCGCCGCCGGTGTCGGCGTCGTTGATTTAATCGATTCACCTCTGACTTCTAACCAACGCGACCGTTACTACGGTTCGCACCTCTCCAAACTACGTTCGAACGAGGGTGTTTGAGTTTTTGAGGAATCTACGCTACCGCTACTCCTATGGAGATTCCTGTGGAGAGCTCCGCGACTACGACTACTTCTACAACTATGGAGATCCTTCCTGGAAGGAGAGCTCCGCGAAGGAGTTACAGAGAAAAAAGGTAAAGTTGACAGATGTGTTTCTGTGTTGATTTCGTTCTCCCTTCTCTCTCCTTGCTCCACTGCTTTTATTCGAAAAACTGCTTCGTAGCCTTCACGCTCGGTGGAACCGCTTCCTCAACTGCTCCGTTGTGAAATCCCACGTGTCTCAACTGCCTTGATCTCCTCTTTCTGCTTTGCATAAAAATCACGTGCCATCGAAACCGCTCCTGTTTGCAGAAACTTGGCGAAAAGCCAAATCCTACAACCTTGTCCATGCAACGATGTCGTTTCACCAATACCGCGGCATCACCTTTCACTAATCGATGCTGACAAACAATGTCGTTTTCCATTCCGCGACATTGTTTCTTTTGCAACCAAACGGCACCGTTGTGCTTGCCAGGCCTCGCCAAAATCCAAACCATTGTGGTATGGTTTTTAACTAAACGACACCGCTTAGTGATACTGCGGCGTTGTTGATGCCTTAAACGGTGTCGTTTTTAACTGAGCAGCACCGCTTGATTCTACCCGCGACATCGTTTTAACATTAAACGACTCCGCGACACTGTTTATTATTAAACACTGTCGTTTGCTAATCCGCGGTACCGTTGGGCTTACTCGCGGTACCGTTTTGAATTAAACGACACCGCCGATATAGCCAAAAAATATTAATCCATGGAACGAGTCGCAGTCGGCGCTCGCATTGGGTCGGGTGAATTTTGGTCACTTGCCCGATATGATTTTTAATTAATCGGTACCGCTTACCAGGCTCTCGCGGCACCGTTTTTAAATCCGCGGTACCGTTTTAACTCTCCGCGATACCGCTTGTCTCCATGCGGTACCGATTTTCCCTTTCCAACGAGTAATAAAAATATTAATTAATTATAAACAAAACTCCTTCCCCAACACCTACACTAGAACGCGCGGCCCCTCTCCAGTTCCGCGGTACCGCTGAGCTTCCTCGCGGCACCGGTTTTCTGTTTCGCGGTACCGTTTTAACTCTCCGCGGTGCCGCTTCTCCCCTTCCCACAAGGAATAACAATAATAATAATAATAAACTCCCTTTCCAACACCAATACCAAAACGCGCGTTCTTATTTTCCGGCGGTGTCGTTTTCTGTGTCACGGTACCGCTGAGCTTCCTTGCGGTACCGCTTTTCTGTTTCGCGGTATCGTTTTAACTCTCCGCGACACCGCTCGACTCCAAACGACACCGTTTTTTATCCGCGGTATCGAATTAAATGCCGAGACTAATTAATGCGGCATTTAATTCAGGACAAATTAATTTTAGGTGTCAACAAATGCCCCCCACAACTCGGTTTATAAGAATTATGAACCGAGTTGTTGACACAACTTCACCACCTAGAAATAATTCCAACGCAATTAACATAGGCCATACTCAGAGGTATTGGCCACGAGCAACTTCCAGGCCATGCATGGCACACTTTGGCCAGCCACATAATTTTACATGGATTCCTAATGGCCTTGCTTTGATTCCTTTTACTCACCTTGCATATAAAGGCCATGCCACTTTCTAGCTCGGCCAAAGAAGTAGCACCGCAACGCTTAGCCCTGCAGCCCTGTTTGCTCTTTCCGCAACGTTGCGGATCATTGGCCTGAATTTTTTTTTTAATTAAATTATTATTTTCTGCAAAGCCAATGCAAACACCGCAACGCTGTTTTTTTCTTTGCCCGCAAGGTTGAGCCATGAATGCGGCAAACATTTACACTACTGTTTACATTGGTCAATCAGTTTCGGGTTTTGACCAAACAGACTTACGGACCCTTCAATGCGACAGCGTAGCCATCCCATTCAATTATCAAACCCGCCAGGCTTAGAGAAAACACTACTGGCCAAAACATTTTCTTTTCCAACAAGGACACAAGGAGCAATCCCTCTCCCGCAGTGAAGCGGACCTCAAAACGTTGGCAATTTCATTACCAAGGCTGCTAGCAACGGAGTTGCACACACAATTTTTTTTTTATTTTTTATTATTACTATCAGGCCTGCTAGTAACGGAGGCAGCGCTGAGAGCCCTATAGTTTTTTTTTTCAATATATCAGAGCTGCTAGCAACAGCGCTGCACGCACAATTTTTTTTTATTTATTATTATCAGGCCTGCTAGCATAGCAACAGCGGCAGCGCTGCCTGGCAACTTTTTTTTTTCCACCACCGCTGCTGGCAGCTCTGCATGAATTTTTTTTTTCGCCAGGACTGTTTGCAACAGCGGCAGAGCTGAATTTTTTTTTGTTTTTTTTTTTTTTACAGCATTGTGTATCTTTCCCTATCTTCCAACGATGTTGAGAAAGGAGAACAACACCGCTTGTTATTTTGAACTATTGCCAACGATATTGTTGCTTCTTCTTAGCAATGCCGCTTGATCATATTATATAATATTTTCTCTATAACATATTAGGTGGCC